TTAACCAATTCAATTTTTTTAACACAACAAGCAAACAAAGAAATTCAATTTTGCTCTTTTATTCAGCCAAGAAAACACTTCTAAAATTAGTCCTGCCTTAGCTTTTAAAGACAGACAAAATGATTCATGCTTTTCTGTTGAGCTTGAGCTACTGCAATGCTTCAGTGTGTGGCTTCACCGAGCTTCTCAGGTCCACTTGATAACGCTGCTGCTCTTCTCCAAGGGCTACTGTTAATTTTACAAATTAGCTTAAATGACTTTAAGCTTTGTGGAAAGCATTTTATGATCAAGCATCAAACTGTATGTTCGAATACTTTTAGTCACTTCAGTGACTATTATTATTTTTGTTGTCATTCTCTTTTTACTTACAGCATATTGGTTTTTAGTTTAAAACCCTGACCCCAAATCAATATCTCTTCACATCAAACCCATCAAATACAAAATGCTGCATATTTTCTTTCTGTTCCTCTTGCTCTGAAATACAGACAGCTGGACATGAGCACAGAATAAATTAATGGATTTAATTGATGCTGACAAAAAAGAAAACAGGGAAAAAGCATGTGGAGAAGAGAGAAACATCTCTTTAGAGTGTCAGGATATTTCTAAAGACAGTAATTACAGTATACTCTAGATAGAAACCAGACTAAAAGTCTATAACTGTGCTCACTGCCCTGTGAGACTGTGATGCTCATTACAGACAACAAAATTGTTGGTTAGAGGTTCAGAGAGTTTCTCTATACACTTGTTTTTTCAGAAACCATAAAACATGCACACATTTGTGTGAAGATAAAGATGCAGACATTTTGTCAGAATACAGGCAATGTATTGACATTTTAGGATAAAGGAGACAGAAAATGTGTTTTGTTAACCTTCAGTTCTTTCTGGTCACATCCTTTCCTTCTGATTCAGTCAGAGTGGAAGCACCACCCCTGGGGGCAAATGAGGGGATGCTTCCAGGGGCCCCGAAGGAAAAACGTGGACTTTAAGCTATGACTTTGTGGCAATACAACTTGTATTTCACTACAGTACCGCGTGCTTCACAAGACAGCTGTTTGTCTCTGGTGGCTTCTGGCTAACCAGCTCAACTTGCCTGAGGTGAGAGGCCTGAGGCTGAGCTGCTTGCACTGTAGTCCAGTGCAACCATCAGCCATGGATGGAACCAGTGGGTGGGAATGTAGCAGACCTCCACCAAGACTCTCCATATACAGTATCCTCCCAGCCAGCTTGAGCAACATCTTCCTGGTTTGATATCATACTTTTTCAATCAAAGTACAAATCAAACACCTGGTGTGCCCATAAAACTGAATATCAGAGCATCAGTGCCACTATTTATATTTTTCAGAGCATCACTCCTGAGAGCATTCAGGCTACACTGGCAGAGGAAGAAGCACAGCAGTCCCTTTCGGAAGTTAGACTTTTTTTTAAGCTCCTTATCAATGTCAGGGTCACCAGTGGCATCAAGCAGAGCAGCCCAGGTCCTGTTTCCCAGCAACCTCCTCCCGCTCTTCTCAGGGAATCTGAATGCGGTTTCTGGTCAGCTGTGTCACCAGTGGTCAAATGTCTAGCTGCTCTTGATGCTCAGCAGCAGGGTCTTGACTTTGAGGTCCTCCCTGAACATGTTTTTAGCCAAGTTCATCACCCGGTTACAGCACATGAGATAAGTATGAAAGCTTTCTCTCCCTCGTTCTATCCTGAGCACAACTCTGACACTTTGCTCATTCTAACTAAGGATACCGTGATTACGTTTTACATTTACTACACTTATTTATAAGACCCAGAGAAACATGAACTCCTCAAACTGAGGAGTTACTTTCCATATCAAAGGAATGATGCACTAATACAGGAGTGAAACACAAACTCACATGTGGGCACACGCCTGCACAACACAGTCATATTCAGCTAAACCCCTCCAATGCAGTGCAGACAAGAGGCTGACACATCTGCAGAAACCAAAGATGCTCCTTAATGTCTGCGAAGTATACACTGTCTAGACTACAGCTGCACCTTGATTACAGTTTGACTCAGGTGTGTGACTTTTATAATCAAGAACAAGAACAATCTTGATTTGAAACCAAGAATCCAAAGACAACCTCCAGATCAGAGTATTTCATTGCAGCTGAATGGTGGCTAAATGCTGGTCAAACCAACAGCCCAAACAGAAAGAAGTAAAACAAAAACCATTGTTTGTTATTGGTCTAAAGATCATTTGTTATTTAAATAACTGAAAATGATATATATTTTAAAGCAGTCAGGTTGTAGAACCTGATACTTGATAATCCACCACACTCACTGAACATCATGTCTAGCATTACTTTGTCAGTTACACTGCTGCATATTTCAAGTCACTACAAGATTAATGTAAATAGAATATCACATACACACAGAACAGTGGCTTCCCTGAAGGTGTTAAGATGGCAGGAACTTAATATAATGCAGCTGAGCTGGAACACGGATGAACACTGCGATCCTTTAAAATATGCAAATGACAATAGATTGCTCCTAAATGTCCTACTCAGTCTAGCTATAGTATCAACTGATCAAAAGTGAAATCTGATTTTACATTTTATTTTCTGTAATGCACTGCAGAGCACTGCAGTAAACACTGATCTCAGACTGACAGGTCAGCACATTGTCATTAATTTCATTTGTCACATGCTTTTATCCAAAGTGTTTCGCCTTGGTGGCACTGATGAGAATAAGACCTTTAACCCAATGATGAGTTTCTCCATGTGCATCTCCCAGAGAAACACAACAGAATACATGTGTTTTCCATTTAAAATGCTGTATTAGATGAACAGCCACTCTGTAAAAGACTGACTGAGTGTTGTCTCAGTACTTCTCAAGCTTGGTGAGAGTAGGTCAAAGTGAAAATTTGCACCTACAAATAGGTGAAATGACAAATGTGGTGTATTAGATGTCTTGCCTGATGTTATAAGCCTCTTGCCCAGCTTGACATCGTTTGAGTGGTTTGTTGTTGTGTGTTTTCTGACAAGGAAAAGTGAAGGGAACTGGGTCATGGGGCAAAACGTAATGGAAGAGCACTTCAAAACCCTCAAATCACTGAGGAAAGCAACCGCCCAACCACCATGTGAGTAGACAAGACTTGCCAGGGGAGAGAGAGAGAGAGAGAGAGAGAGAGAGAGAGAGAGAGAGCGAACTCCGGCAAATATGAGGATGGAAAGATAATGGCCCTCACTGAACAGGGTGTCTGGACATTCACAATTATCAATTTGTGTCCTTTTATGATGCATTCTGACAAAACAACACCTGAAGAAGAGAGACTGGACAGTAAAAAGATCGCATGTGATTTTTGGACCTTTCTCTGAAGCAACATGATTTACTGAAGAGGGTGGTAACTGAGCCCAGTTTACCAGATTACTGGATCGCATCTACAGTACATGGGAGAATTACTGGATACTTCTGAGGTGTATGTGCGCACAGAGATGTCGTAACTCTACATGAACCGTGATAGATAAATAGTACTTTAATGGACAGTGCTTGGAGATTTCAGCTCAGTTGGAAGACACACGGGCAGCAATAATACCACACCGCAAACACAGAGAAAAGCCGGCGCCGGCGATCTGTGCGTCTCTGCAATAAGTGGCTGATAAAAAGCAATAAATTCCCTAAAATAAACACAGCCATCCGGTTGTGCGCCATGGGCGACGAGGCGTCAAACTTCAGGAGAAGCAGCAGGAACGGTGTCTCATCACCAAAATCCAGGGCTGGTGAGGATAACGGCAGAGCAGAGATTCTGGGCTAAATTAAACCCGATCACCAATAAAACAATGAGATTATTGATTTTCGGATGACTTGTCAGACCACTGTGACAGTTCTTGATGGTATTCAGAAAACAAGATTCAGATCTGGGCTGTACTGGACTTGGCCACTTTGATTTGTTCGCTCAGAGATCAAATGGGAAATGTGGACATTGTTTTGTGCTTGAAATAAACGACTACAGCCATATTATTTAACCAATAAGTTTTTAAAAAGGGATTTTCAATTTTTTTGCACTATGATGGAACCACCACCGTGCTCGAAGAAAAGCCTGTCCCTGTCGCTCCCGGTTCACCGGGAAGGACAGGCGACTCTGAAGCCTCCGCAGCATCTTTGGAGGCAACCACGCACCCCGATCAAAATCAAACACCGGGGGTACTCCGACACCGATAGGCATCACCAGCGGCACATGGAGCGCTCCGACGCCGTGGATACGAGCGACCGACCAGGACTGAAAAAGTCTCGGATGTCTTGGCCATCCTCTTTCCACGGGACCACAAACACATCCATCGGAAATAGTGCCGGGAATAAACGGTAGGCGAGAGAGGGGTGTGCATTCCAAACATCACAATAATAGCCCATGCCAGCCCACAAGGCATATGCGTAAACGAGAAGGGAGGAGGGGGATGCATTTTAATGAGTGCGTAATAACGCAGTGTGCCTTAAGGGTTAACTGCTATGAAGCGTTTTCTGTCGGGAGGTGGGACGCGTGGGTTTTCGGTGCTTATGCGTTATGCGTCTTTGGATAGACTGTGTCAGATGGGTATGAAGGCAAACCAGTCCGCCCACTCAAAACGCAAGAGCAGCATCTGTAAATACCTGTAACATTTTAAGAGTGTCCACATGTTAGGCTACATATAGCTTGGCAAGAGACACGAGGCACAGTCGTTTTAATGGCACCAAAGGTCGAGTGTGTGCGTTCTTGCATCCAGGACTGCGATATTGCCACCATGTGCACTCCTGTCCAGACCTTTATTAGCTGTTTGCAGAGCGTGTTTGGGGCCCAGCGGGCGAAAGGCCAACAGTTAAACGTCTCATACAAGGACGCTCCCTGCTGTAGTGTCCCTTTGCAAGGCAGTCTAACTCCAAGATTAGATGATTCTGACCTCTGACCCTCTAAAGGAGGTGAATGAGGAGGGGGTTGAAATGAACAAATGCTCTCCCCATGGTCTAAGTTATACACTGGCATTTGGACTTGTGTCACAGAACTGTCACACAGATGGTTTCAGATAGCATCTAATTGCCACACCAGGGCTGCTCTCTGATCAGATATGACACATCTCCAACACCCGAGATGAACACAACATAATTATATCATACTTAAACTCCACAAACTAACAACTCTACCAGCACTTAAATGAAATTACAAGATGCATGGTAATCAAGCAGATTCAATTAAAGGCATTTCATTAAGTGAGCCATGGAATGATACACGTTGATAGGATTACTTTGTCCTTACACAACAATTGCTCCATTTATCTTCTAAAAACGGCACTGAATGCAGCATAAAGATGTTTTTTTTATTGTTATAAAGCTGATTTTCCATAAAACAGGACACATTTAAGAGAACATTCAAGAATTTACAGCCTGTCCAACATGGGTTTATGTGACTCATTTGTGTTATTTCACTTACTTAAAGGGGGTGTGAAAATGTCAAAAAAAAAAGAAAATTAAGGCCATACCTGTGACCACCACTTCCCCTGTGACTGTTGTGTGACACCAACTCCCCCGGATTTTCTTGCAAGTGAAACATTTTGTCTATATTTTGAACTGTTTCTGACTCCGTTATTGTCCCCCCCCACCCTCTCCTAGTCACTCATGAAGCCCAAACGTGCTTTTACCCCCCAAAAAAAATGAAGCCGGGGGATTATTAGACTAATAACACATCGCTTTGAGAGTGGTGGGCCCTGAGAGGACTGTTGAAGTTCTGCTTTTTTTCTTGCTCTTGTTGTTAATATTTCAGTGCCATAGACAGACTTCCCGGCAGGCCCCTGGGAGAGGGGCCAGCTCCAGCTGACTGGAGGAAGGGCTGATTTGTATTTTAGTCCCCAGGACACGCTCTGAGGCAGTTCAATCTTGAGTGCATTGGGTTTGACTCTGCCTGCCCTTCTCCTTCTGTGGGCGGCAAACCATAAGAGGGTGTAGAGAGAGAGAGAGAGAGAGAGAGAGAGAGAGAGAGAGAGAATTTGATTCCTACAGTTTCAGTTCTGGCTGGCTCCAACTGTGTGTGTGTAGGTGTGTGTGTGTGTGCGTGTGTGTGTGTGTGTGTGTGTGTGTGTGTGTGTGTGTGTGTGTGTGTGTGTGTGTGTGTCTTAGCACATTTGTGAGGTGATGTGTATGATCTGCTAGTGTTCGTGATACACACTGGTCAGGATGGAGGGTGCAAGAAGGAATGGATGCTGGTAGATAAATGCTGTGTGTTATGAATAGTGGTGAAATGTTGCATGCACACTGTATTGTGTGGGTGCGTGTGCTTGTGTTTGGAGGTATTTATGAATGTGCACAGGTTAGTATCTGACCTGTAGCCTGCATAGACTGCAATATGCCTTGTTTTATCTGTTTTCATATCAATGGGGTGCCTGAGGGAATTCTGTTGTGTTGATATTATTTTCATTCTTTTCACATATTTGTGCAAATGTTTATTCACTTTTTTTGGCTTCTGTCTGAAGAGCAGAGGCTTCGAGCTGCATGTCTTTTCTCCTCACTGGATTTATGAACATCTGGGTGGATCCAGCAGCTCTGTGTCTTTAGCTCAAGGCTAACTTGCATTGAGTCCAGCCTATGGAAGGCAGCTCCACATCCGCTGTCATTACTGCTCTGATGACTTGTAATGTGCACTCAGTGCCCAGAAATATCATTTTTCTAAACCCTCAGATAGGGAGAAAGACAGGAACAAACTTAAAATTGGGCCCTAAATCTTGATTACTGACAGTGTTCTTGAGAGTTACTCAGTAAACATTGCTCACTGACAGTTTTGAGCGAAAACTGAAGCTCATTATTCTCGTGCTGATTCTCTGCTGTGAATTTGAGATAAAATGTAAACATATAAGACTAGGCACACACACATTCTTGCTATTGAAATGGCAAATCTTGTAACATCACATTTAGTAGGCAAGAAACATGAAGTGACTTTGTCGTGGGAGACTGGAAAAAGTAATTGGTCTTTGATTGTTAGGGCACCAATTGGCCCAGCAGATGAACTTGGTGTCTCAAGGAAGCAGACCGTTCAATCACTAAGGTGTCAAGAACTAATCTGGCGGTTTAAAAGATCAATTAGCCTAAGAGCTGCTGCTGGAATTGCTTCAGATAAGGTTCAGGGGAAAACAGATTGCACCATGTTAATGTAATTGATAGCCTCGTTTTTGAAAATGAAGAACAGTCACCAGGAAAGGGATAGGTGACATACAAGAAGGATTCTGGGTGTTGTTTTGCATAAGTGTTTGAAGGAATCATTGTCAGTCATTGTTTTCACTGTTTTTGTCTCTGTGTTGTATCCCACAAAATGGCAGTCTTAGTGGCAATCAGCTTCTCCCCAGTCTATGTCAGTCTGCCTCCTCTTCCCACCACTGGTGTCTTTTGTTCGACCATCTTGTCAGTTCCTTTGTCAGAAGATGCTAAGATGAGCGTATCAGTCATCAGGTCCCATGCCCAGTGCATTCTGACAAGTTCCAACTTGAGAATGAGTGACTGACACCGAACGAGTGTCACTTCCCGCATATTTGTTGTTATGGTTACTTGTTTTGTACATTTGTAGAATAAATTTCATTTACCCAAAAAAAGGCAAAGCCTACAGGCACTTGATGTGCTTGGCAGTATAACTGATCAGTTTGTAACAGAGCCCACTGGATAGACATTATGACTTGAGTGTTTACAAGGTGACAAAGGAATATTAATGTACCTCTGCTGAAGAACTGAAGCCTGCCAATACTTTAATCACAGAACAGAGCTGGTGTCCTCCTCAGTCCTCTGCAACAGTTTCTAACCGATGCCTCCTTCCCTCACCTGCCTCTTCATGCATTCTTTGCACCTTTTCCCCCAAGCTGGGTCCAGGACTGATTTGTAGGCTGGAGCTGCTCTTGTGCCTGCCTGACTGGATGGCTGCCATAATAATTTTGTTCATAATGAGGTACAGCTCCAGTTAATTACCACAACAGCTTTGTTTTGTTGTTGATCAAATATTTACTTTTCTACACTCTAGAAACAAAAAGTCTCATACCGAGACTATTGAGGAATTATCCCAACAAATGTGTTTTAATAGCACTAAGTAATAGACCTTTTATCTCATTTGTATAGTGGAGCCATCTGTTAAAGCTACAGATTGTGCTCTTCTGTGAATACATTATGATTTCTCACTACCCTCGGTGCTAATTAGTATCTGGCGGCAGTTTATGTAGTGGAGCGACGCTCACTTTTGGTTGGCTCAGGCAGATTTCAAAGAGCTCAGGTAAAATCCCTCCTTGGATTGTTTTTTTTAAATGACACCAAACAAGGTGTTTGCTCAAAGGAAATGTATAGAGCTCTTATCCAAGGTCCTTCTATGTTTTTATTCTCTGCTCATCAGTTTGTCTTACTGGAGGCTCTCAGGCTCCTCACATATGTACTTAGGCCATCAGTAACCATATTTAGAACAGTCAGTTTGCATTGTGACTGGAAAACTTTGGCATCTTTGCATTTTAATTAATTTCACACTGCATCCACTTAAAGTGGTGATACACTAGTCATTTGTCTTTTTTGTTTTTAACAAGTGTGGATGGGCAAGGATCCCAGCAAGAGGCAACAGCCACGGCATCAAAAATTCAAGTTGCACAACAAGTCCACCTGTTACCCACAAATATCTCCTTGTGTGATGTAGCTAGTGTGCACACATCTTGTCTGTTAACAAGATCCAGTCCTCATGGTCCTTTCAAATCATGTTCACGTCGATTAAATCACCTTCATGGAACTTTTTGCCCCAGTTTATTATGTGACAGTTTCCTCTGCCTCTCTTAAGATGTCCATTGTGATAGTGATAAGCCTTCTCTCCTTATCTAATAATATTGTTTGAATCACTTCTTTGTCTCTAATAATTACATTCTTTGATTGCAGCATTTCTTTCTTTTTGATCCTCTATCCTCTCAGCGCTTCATTTCACCCCCAGTGTAAATGGCAACTATTGATTCCATCTCTATTTTTGTTCTCCGCTTTGTCTCTTTATTGTGTGGCCCATCTCACTGACTCCCCTGAAGCTGCTGAGATTCTCTCTGATAGCCTTGTTCTTGCTTACAATGGCATTAAGCTCACAGCTTCTCTATCATAAATCTATCATTTCATCCCACAGTTCCCATCTTGTCTGTTGAGATTTCAGCTGTGTGCAGATTCTTTCCCCCCCTTGAAGCCATGTCTGAATCTCAGACCTTCATGTTCCCACTGGTGGATTGAAATGCCCACCACTGAGAGTGTGTGTGTGCTTCATCTCTTCCTATATCCCTCTTCTTGAAGGTATTCTATGATGTAATATTTTATTCTTCATGCTCTAGCTGTTTCTTGAAAAATCA